ACTCTTTCCTGCCTATGCAGGGGGTCGGACTCAATGATCTATTGACGTCCCTTCCGACCCTAACATCTATGAATCTATGAAAACTTTGTTAGGAGTTATAAACAAAGAAACTTACACATTACTCTAATAAAAGCTGATTAAGAAAGGGCAACACTCACTTGGCACAGCGAACCCAGTGCGTATGCTGGGACAAAGAAAACAAAAGCCGCTGACGGTGAACACTCCACATTTTTATTGACTTGTCGTTGGATGCTGTAACTAGAAAGTGGCCATCATGTGAGAAGTTCACACTACGGACAGCTGCAGTATGGGCTTTTAGGACTGAAGATTCTCCATGACTGAAACACATTAACGTAACATTAACCTTGTTGAAGATATACAAAACTCAAACTCAAAACAGTAAAAAGAATAAATTTGCTGTATTCCTTCCTGAATGTGCCTAGTCTAAAAAACCCAATGAGAGCTTATGTTGGTTAATCCCGATTACTGATCCAGTTCTGTCTAATTCAGGGGTGTCAAACAGATGGCCATGAGCCACAAAGCCCCATAATCCAGCTCCCAGTGCTGGCCCATTGACCCACATGCTCCACTGGACTGGCCGCACATGCAGTGCACAGGAAGCGACAAATGGTACTTGCTGGATCCTGGGCTGCACTGCCCATAGTGTTCACTAGGGCTGGGTCCCAGATCAGCGCAGGCAGGTGCCATATGCACTGGATCAGCCACACAAGCAGCGGGGAGAGGGTGGGCCCATAGTCCTGACCAACTCCACAACACCTATCAGGCCCGCAGGGCCAGATGGAGTTTAACACCCCTCGTCTGATTTATAAATGGATGTTTAAGAGCCCACATTCTAGCCTTTGAGAGATTTAACTGCAGAACCTGAAATCACCAATGGGGGGGTATGCTCAGGAGCACTCTATGTCTAGTTGTCTAGCTTGGGCAAGTGCAAACTGGAGCAAGTCAGTAGGATAGCAGTACAGGCATGAATCAAAACTTGCTACTGCAGAATAAAGATGGGCAGTAATGTTCTACAGACCCCACGTTCCTCTATCAATACTGCATTGTCTAAACATAAATAGTTTAGGGGTTTTTTAATTTATACTTACATACACGGAACCCACAGTCTAACTGTACGGTCTTGAGAAGCTGAGGCCAGTAGTTGTCCATCTGGTGAAAACTGTACGCTATTCACTGCTTCCACATGACCCACAAATCTAAAAGCTCTGGACTGTGGTTTCAAATTCCATATCATAAGAAACTTATCCAAAGAAGAGGAAGCTGGCAAAAAATAGTTTGAAGGCTATTGTGTTAAAAGCAAACCATCAATTCAAAATCATAGGAATACTTATCCAGATTTCTTATGTAAAAAAAAACTTGTATGACTAATTATTAAATATAGCATCCTAGGACACTGTAGACCAGGCCTAATTGTTACAAAGCATGTTAATAGACACCTTATATCACTAAAGCTTACTGTAGTGTTATGCTCAGAGATGTGGGTTTTCTGGAAAATTTTGAATTGGAAAACTTTCCGGAAAAATTTCCAATGTCCTAAATAGAGTGAGAGCTGATTTAGCATGATTATTTGACTTATATTTAGTAAACAAAACTTTAAAGGTACCCCCGTGTTAATTTTATGTCCCAATAGCCACAAGTATTTGAACTGAATTTTTTTTATTTGGAAAACAACTAAATACAGCATACTTAATGTGGTTTAAATGTTATATTCAAACAAATTCAAAGCTTTATGTGGAAATAAATTATTTTTTATTGGAATACTTGTAAAAATGTAAAGATAATACACAATGGCATGTACTTCCCTTATATTGTTTACATTTAAGAAAAAAACCCAAGGCACTTAAAACTGCTGACACACTAATTTTAGCACCCAAAGAGCTGTGTATGATAGGCCATGGTTGTCTGCTTATCTACTTCAACAGAGTTTAACTTCCACTGAGGTCACTGCGGCACCTCCAGTTTCACTGTCACTGTCTGTTGAATCACACTACTTATTACTTCCATTTACATTCACAAGAAGCTGCTGTTGGTGCAATGGCTTAGGATCCTTACAGCAATCCTGGACAACAATTGGGTGTTACAGTATCCCTTCCACCATGTGAGGGGAGAAATTCTCTGCTGTCCACTAAATGATGTCTTTGCTCCAAAGTTTTTCTTTTGTGTGGTACTCAGCAAAGTCTGTCATCACAGCTATTTCATCGATGTTAGGGACATTCTTAGCTACTTCCATAATTGTAATCGAGAGCAGTAGATCATTCATCTTCTGATAAATGTTGTACTCTGTGTTGAGGATCCAAAAGGTTTGCTGCCAGATGAACTAGATGAGAGCAAAACTCAGATCTCTTAGTAAACATTTGTTTTACTACTACTACTTTTTTGGATAGAGGTGAAGAAGGCAAAAGCTCAGATAGATTTTCATTCAGTTGTCTGAATATCTCTGGAATATTTAAATTGGTGTATCTCCTTAAAGTTTCTTGCCAGCCACTGAAACTGGTAGTAGCAAATTCAATGCTCCTTGAACTCGAACCCAGAACACATCATTGTCTGCTTCCCAGTGTTCACAAGAATAATCTGGGATACTGTGTCATCTATTGGAGCACACTGCAAACAGTTCTTTGCATGCAGCAAACTATGTACACACTTTGTAGCCAAGCCCTAATCTAGTTTCTCCTGGCAATAAAAGTGCACTTTCCTTCTCCTGCTTCTCTTTCTGCAAGTTCTTCGAAGTCTGATTAGCAACATGTTTGTTAAATACCTTCACAATCGCTTTACAGTTTGCCAATATTGACATCATTGTATTCACACTTACTATGTCCTTTGCCAGAAGATTCAACCCATGAGCAAGACAGCCAAACACTATTAAATGAGGATACTTTGCATTTAATATTTGCCATGCAGCTTTCATGTTACTCACATTATCAGTTACAAGGGCTTGTACCCTGGAGGGACCTGCACTTTCTATCTCTTCACTCAGTAATTTGGCTATGTATTCACATGTATGATGAGAAGATTTGGTAGCAACTGCTTTCACGAATATTGGTTCAGGTGTTGCTAATATAATGTTTAATAAAGGATTTCCTTGTATATCAGTCCATCCATCTGACATCCGAGTCGGTGATTTTGCTTGACCAATTCTTTGAATAACCATTGTTTGAACTCTGTCATACTCTCTATCTAAGAGAGAATGTAATAAGCGATAGCATGACAATACCTTACATGATGGGTGAATTAGTTTGTAATGTTCCTTCCAGTATTGATTGTCAATTATGGGAAGAGGTGTACCACTTGCAAATATAGCTCGAGCTAATGTCTCATCTGCTTTTGACATTTTGTCCACAAACCTTGATAAAAAGCTTGACCGTTTTGAACAGCTACTCATGGTGGATTGCATAGCTGGTGATAGTGTACTTGAAAGCGAAGATCTTTCTTCTTCTTCCCCCAGGCCTGGCAGCTCAACGTTTTCATTTTCCATTTTTTGCAAATCTGCTATTTCACTTGAGCTACCAAGTTCCAGCAACAAAAGGGGGAAAGATTTTTATTTTAGCCTACTCTAGTCTGGCCTCATCCATCAGAAGGAGAAGCGGCAGGGAGCTTGCTTCCCCACTTCCTGCCAGAAAGAACACTGCTGCTCAACTTGTTGCTCAGTTGCCCTGGGACTGCAGAGCCAAAGGAAAGTACTGTCAGACCTCTGCCAACAGCCAGAGGACTAAGCTCGTTCTGCTGGGTTGAAATAGTTAACTATTTATATATTATGTAATTTAAAAAAATATATATAGAGAAGCGGCAGGGAGCTTGCTTCCCCACTTCCTGCCAGAAAGAACACTGCTGCTCAACTTGTTGCTCAGTTGCCCTGGGACTGCAGAGCCAAAGGAAAGTACTGTCAGACCTCTGCCAACAGCCAGAGGACTAAGCTCGTTCTGCTGGGTTGAAATAGTTAACTATTTATATATTATGTAATTTAAAAAAATATATATAGTTAAGCCTAAGCCACTTTGGGTGCTTAGTGCAAGCAGAAAAGCAGGATACAAATATTTTAAATAAATGAATAAATAAATAAATAATAGTCCAGAGTTGCATTAACAACTTTTAAAATTATAACGTTTTAAAACAATATAGATGTTAGTCTATGCTGGGTGTTGTTTAACATATTCATTTGTTTACTTATATAGGATTCCTGAAGTAGACTTTTCTCAGATAATGTTGTTCCACCACTTGGTTGTATTAGCTTTCTATATATGGCTTGTACACTTCCAGGACATTTCCTACAAGTTATTAAATGTTTCTTCATTCTTGTTGTGTTGTTAGTGTACTCCTGCCCACAATATTTACACCTACCAACTTTCTTCCTTCCTGCAGTGGCTTGAACTTCACTATAATGATGCCACACACTAGGTTTTTTTCTGATCAGGCATTATTATGACTACTTCAAACCAAAAGCACTAAAAAACTAGCAGATCTTATGCAAACACTTACAACTTCCCTAACACAAGAAAACAAATGAGATACTGCTCTGTGTGTTTGCTGAACTAAAAGTGAAACAAAAATTAATGACAGTTTTAGTTTGGATTTTGCTTATACTTGCAGTCTGAAATGAAATAAAAATGTTAGCTTTGGTTTTGATTTGATCTGCACGGCCAATTAGGTGAATTAATAACTTGATTTTTGGTTTGGATTATTATGTGATTACAAATCAATAAAACATTTATGTACTCTCTCTCACACTTCCTTGGGATAATCACCTGAAAAACATTAATTACAACTCTGAAACTGCCAAGCTTGCCTAATATTGTATTGGCATCCATTCTTTTTTCTAATGAATTTTATGAAACAATGAATTTTTAGAAATGGAGAATTCCCCGCGGAAAAATAAAGCACTGGAAAAATTTTCCGCTCCACATCTCTGGTTATGCTATCTGCTTTTCAAATAACCATGATCTGTTGTCATATTAGAAGCTCTAAGAATAGTAGATGGGTTCAAAGAATAGGTTTTGGATAGAGCTAATGTTCATATTACTCACAGAAAACACTGAAAGCATCCCATATTCGAACAAGATTCTGGTTAAAGGACTGAACTACACTAAAGCAGCGTTTTAAAATAGTTCTTAAACTTAACCTTCCATAAACCTGTCATAATACAATTGATAATAATAAAAATAAATAAAAATAAAATGCAAGCAACAGCAATAATTACAAGCCATTAACAATAGGTATTTTACCTCTATACTCTTCTTTTCTGGATATCATTGACAAGAGAACTGCATACTTAAGAACAGAAGGATATTTCCAGCAAAGGATAAGATGCTGCAATACATTGTGGTCCTGCATGCGTTTGTAAAAGGATTTGTAAAAATAGAGATAGTTTTGTCACAACCCAGTGATTTTTGTGCCTCGGCACTATGGAATTTCCTGGCCACATGAGAGCTCCTTTGCACGGCAGAGTGTTCTGCTGCAATTAAGAGCCTGCGTGCAGGAGAGTTCCCGCCAATTTGCAGTTTCCTTTGCAGGATGCATTTCTTCTTTGCAGCATAGAAATGCACGGTGCAAAGAGTTCCTGCCATTCGAATGTAAATTTGTGCCCCGCTATTGGCCAGTGCTAAATTATTCACACGTGGCGGCTAGTAATTGGCTCGCTGGCCGTTTAAAATTCCACGCGACTTCCGCCCAAGTCGAAGAGCTTTGAGCACGCTGCAGAGTGCCTCTGAAGTTATCTGACTTGCAGCTGCCGATCGATAGACTGATCACCTATCGATCTTTCTTCCCGTCACCGAGCGCAACCCCGACGTACCCCTTTCCCCACCGGCTTCGAACTGTGGACAGATTAACTGGCTTGGGCCCCGCCAGCTGGAGCAACTTGTGTGGTTGTTCCGACGACCAGACCACCTGCGTCGTGATTGCAAGCGGCGTGAGTACAGTTTTTTGCAACCAATAAGTTGTGTCTGCCTCTCCATTCACCAGCCCGCCCTGACGTACGAGCGTAACTCGAGTCGGCCCTGGCCGTCCGAGACATGGCGACAAGGATGGGATCTAAGGGCACGGTGATGGAGATGAATCTGATCGGTTCATCCCCCTGGCGCACCGGGACACGC